CTAGAAAAGAAAAGAATTGACAGACATTTATTACTGTTAATGTACCTCTCTTTCAGGATTAATAGGCAGTATCAGATATTACTTAATGGCAAGTAACTATTTAATTAGGGTAAATACTATGGGAAAAATATGAGGTGTGTAATACTTATGTAAGACTTAATCTTACAATTAATGCTGTAATTCTGAAAGAGTAGTATGAACCTACTAGATATGAATAATCCCAAGATACTATAAAGCTGTGCAGCACTTTCCTAGGATTTTCCAATAGAGGATTTAATCTTACATTATAAAAATTAATGAATATTTAAAAACACCCTTGGCAAGTGAGTCATTACAATTAGCCTGGTATTGATCCACATCCCCACCTTAACTAGTAAGAAGGAGAGCAAGTCACCTACGTGCAACAGATTCTGCTGAGCCAAACACCTAAACAGTTCTGTTTCCTGACTTTTTTGCCTATAGGCAGGAGAGAATGAACCTTGCTACACCTCTGTGCCATGAAATAAACAATAGCCAAGAACTGAGGCCATATTAATTTGCTCCAATGCCACATATTCAGTAATTCCTCTACTTTATCAAAGTGAGGAGCAGAAATATACCCATTGCACAGGTGGAGAGACTGAAGCACAAAGAGAGCAGTCTGCCCACAAACAGCCAGTAGCAGAGTCCCATTCATTAGATTTTCTCAGTTTCTAAATTCTAGTGCAGGAGAAGTCTGTTCATATTTACTGAATAATTTGTCATGTAAGAGTTGTTACTAGGCCTTATGGTACAAAGCATGCCTTCTGTTTGTAGCTTCTCAAACAACAGATTTTACATATTCCCAGTAGAGCTGAGCGAAATGAGCAAAACAAAATTCAGTTTTCTGATTCAAAACATTTTCTCTAGAATGTAAGCTAAAAAAAAAAGCTTCATATCAGAATAAATTTTAAACTTGGGTTGCAAGTTTCAAAATCCAAATCTGACCTGCTTTCAGAAAGCAATCTATATACTGCATATCTAGGAGTACGACTGTCCTTTGGGAACTCTTCGCAAAACTGCGTATCATAGACTGTGCATAGATCATGAAAGGAAGACATGCAATTAAACCAGTGAGAAAACTAATTAGAATTCAGTGATTGAGTACAAATGCCTGGACTCATCATCGCTAAGGGAAAGAGGTAAACAATAACTCAGAGAAACAGGTAGAATTATACCACAGGTAGAATCATATCACCATAAACTAGAAAAGGAATGAAAAGGATTTTTTCAATACTGTGATCGCTGTTTGTCTGCAATAACCAACAGCTGCCCTTTTTAGTTTTGTTTCCACTAATAAAAAAAGAATTAAAAAAAAACAAACACAAAAAAGCGGTGGCCCTTTAAAGTACACCACAATAAGTATTAAATGAGTAACATCAACTCCATATAATTAAATTGCAATTAGATCACAGAGCTTGGTATGTAATCAACTGCAGGTGGGAAATTTGAGTAGTTATGTAAAGTGATTGGGTTTGTAAAATTAAAAATTGAAGTTGACAATAAGGATGGGAAAAGTACCAGTCATGTTAGAGTCATCAAGGTAATGTGTTTAGCTAGTTAAGAGGTTTGTTTACCTTGGAATTGTTCACTGTATTTAAAAGGCAGCCCTGCTTCTCTGTTGTCTGGCATCCTGGCAGTCCTTTGCTCTTGAGTGGAGTACACGGTTTAAGTGAGAGGACTGAACAGTGGGAGATGGAGAGAGCAGCAGGAAACTGCCAGACTCCACAGTGTGTTCTGGTTATTGAGCAGGGTAAAATGATTTGATAATTTTAATGTTGCAGATCCTTGCACAGTATATTTTAGAAACTGTGCTTTATAGAAAAGACTTGAGGTGGACTTAATACATTTATTTTCATAGAATATATATAAACATTATTTTAAATATATATTAAAAATATATCTTGTGGGAGTGGCAACTGAGGATCAGAAAAGTACCTCTTGCCACACAAGGAGGCACAGCAATGTGGTCCAGCTTTCCTTCAGGTATATATCATGTCCAAATGTGTTTGGGTTTATTGATTGCTTTTAAAGTTCAAAAGTATTTACATAATCATAACTTGACACCTGAGTGATCTCAAGTTTCATCTCCTTAAATGTAGATACAATTCCAATATGCACTGACATTTGCATTTTAGTATTTGTCCAAACGAATTCAGTGCTACTTTATTTTCCCACATTTCTGCCTTCTAAAATGACCTCTGAAATAATTAGAAACCCAAATGAATTTCTGATACCATTCCAATTTGTTGTAATTTTAAAAGGATAAAAATATCAGACTGGTATAGACACAATTATTGTCGAAGTTAAAGCCCTATACACAAACCAATAATAAGGAAAAAGCTGAAAGAACGGTGTTATATATTTCTAGTACCTTAAAATTACTTGATCAGTTTTAGATTACTCACTCAACTGAGACGACGACAGCATTGAGAGACTCAGCCATGATTCTGCAGAGATTGTTATAAAGGCTTGTTCCTGGAATGAAAGGACACAGTGTTAGGGACATACAAGTCCATTTGTGTCAACAGTTGCAAAGCCGTACGTAAGCCTTCTCAGAAAATATAAACACATCATACAAATATAAGCAAAGTAAATGAGATCAGCTTGCAATAGATAAAGTACCAAATACATACTGTAGCAGAAGGAACATAATTCACGCCTTGAGAAGTCCTGCAGTCTAATGCATCTCTTTCTTGGTGACTTGGGGGATGTAATTTCATCCACCTATCACAATTCTCTCATTTGGGCAAAATTTAAGGTACCCAGTGGCTTGGGGACATTAGCATCCAAAGACAATTATCACTGCGTGAGTCACCGCTTGTTGTTCATTTTATTATAGCATGCATTGCTTTGATTCAAATGACTTGCCCTATTAATGTCAACTGAACTACTCCTTTAAGGGAGGATTAATAATAGCTATCCTACTTATCAGTGGACTGATTTTCTTTAATTTTATTCCTTTCCAGTTACTTAATCGTTAGTTCCTGGTAATATAAAATATATTAAGACACTAAATATTTTTCTAAGTAGCTAGTCTTAGAATTTAATATTTAGTTGTAATATTTGTGCCATTAACTTCTTCATCTTGGACTTGAGGATAGCATCTGACATAGCTGAGTTATAGTAATCTAAACAAAGCGTGGTAATTTAATATAAACTTTTTGCACAACAAGTCATATGCAAACTGTTACAGGACAAATGAGGTAGGCAGGGCACTAATAAACCTCTCTTAGTCAGGCCTAAGAAAACCCATCTCAAAGCACAATTCCTCTGAAGGAGCTGTTGCAAAATTTTTAACTGCTGTAGGTGAGGGTGGTGAGACACTGGCACAGTTTGCCTAGAGAAGCTGTGGCTGCCCCATCCCTGGAAGTGTTTGAGGCCAGGTTGGACACGGCTTTGAGCAACCTGGTCTAGTGGACAGTGTCCCTGCTCATTGCAAGGGGGTTGGACTAGATGACCTTTGAAGGTCCCTTCCAACCTGAACTATTCCATGATTCTATAGGACCACAGGAAAAAGAGACTGGGATTTCCCAAGGCAGGTGAAGAAAAGATTTTAAAGTTATTTAAGGACCTAAATCTCACCTAAATCATGGTTTAAGTGACTCATACATGCATAGTCCAAGTGCAATCAATAGAGTCTTTGTTTTGGAGCATTTCAGAAAAACTCATTAATGTTCTTTTTCTGTAGATGAAGCCATAGAATGCTTCGGGGCTGTATGGACTTCACGATGTCATGGTAGCAATGGGGAAGGAAAAAGAGGAAGACTCCTCTGGGCTCTGGATCTTGGAGCAGCCATGAGAACCACATGCTCTTTCTCCTCCTGTACGATGTGGAAGTATCAGTGGTTAGCTTATTGTTGTCTATAGCTATACCTTAGTTTCTCTGATCATGTTTATGGTTTCCAAGTTAACTGGAATAAACAGCATTAGTTACCAATTAATGTAATTGCTGCTAGTGGTGGTAACAGTCCCCTAAGGGACGGGGACAGACCATGACCAGATCTGACCTCTATCTGTTTCTCCATCACACTGCCTCTTGTCGATGATCAGCAAATGTATTCCCAAGTCTTTGTTACTTAAGAGCCAAACACTAGCAATGCTGTTACATGCACTGTTGTTCAGCTCAGTCTTCTGATAATTATTCTGCAAAAATGGGGCAAAAACCTTACAGTCACTAGATCCTGATCACCAAGGACTGACTTTTGCATATGACCACAGAAAACAGGGGACTGGCTCAAACAGCCTATTCAGGCATCCCAGGAATTTAAACAATAAACTCTTTTGTCCTCTCAGGATGTAACAAAATCAACCTTTCTGTCCTTTTACAGCTCCTGTGCAGATAAGATATGCATTTTTGCTGTGTGTTCACAGTATGTTCTCCCCTCTCTCCTTAGAGCTGATCTACCAGAGTGGAGACAGTTACTACTGAATTCAGGTATGTCTTAGCAAAATTGTCATCCCTGGCAGGAAAAACAGCTTTTGGCTTCCACTGCTAGGAGAAAACCAGATCAGAACCTTATTAATTACTGGCAGACACATACTTGCACTTGCCAAGGCCCAGCCCCCTCCGTGGATGTAAACAACACTGCGCTTGAGCTTTTCATCTCGCTTTGCAGGGGGTTCAAACACTCTGACTTCCACGCCGTCAAAAACAGCATCCGTGATGTTAATGTCTTCAGAGGAGACAGACTTCAGCTTGTCAAAAGTACAAATCAAGTAATTCAGAACTATCAAGTGATGGCTGAGTCTCAGATAGTGAATTAGGTGGCACTAGGTGGGGGAAAAAGAAGAAAATTTCTGTTAGTTCAAAGCACATCATACAATACTGCATTGATGTTTAATGCAACTGTCTTCAAAGGGCAGATCCTATATGAAAATGAATATGGATTCTTAGACTATTCACTGGAAAATACTTTTCAAAGACCTCTAATGCTTTTAAGACATTAAGAGAAAACCCTGTCCATAAATAAATCAAACCATGACTACTATATGGCTCAAGACAACTGAGAATGGCACTCAGATCCTTGCCTTTGAAAGCCACCCTGAAAGGAGATGAACCTCACCAGCATGCTCCTCTTTGCGACTTGTGAAGCTCCTCAGACCAGTGCCAGCAGAGGGCAATACCACACAGGCAAAGCTTTTGTGGTGGTAAGGTATAAGAAATGCAAAGTATTTTTCTTGTTCCACCCCAAAGCGTAAGTCTTTCCACTTCCAAATTAAGAAAGTTCTCAAGGATTACAAAGAAATTTGAAAACAGGGATGATCTTAAAGGAATATAACAGTTGTTTATTGCCTTGTTCTGTATTTACCTGCTGAATTAGGAAGGATCTGAAATACTATCCAAGAACCACGTCAGGACAGTGATATAATGATTTCTCCCCCCACCTCCTCCCGGCAACTAAAGTGTGTTACATTTTTGTAGGGGTAAAACACTTTGAAAATTAGCAGTGATCTGATTTTATGTGCCCTGTTTGTAGAAGGAGAGAGATTTTATCCTCTTTGGCTATCCAGGATTTTAATTTTAATGTTTATTTTTTAACTTTGCCCTGAATAGATTAAAAACATGTTTCTCTCAGCAAACAGTACTGGAATCCAAGGCACTTCTCCAACCTAAATGGTCACGACTTGCTCCCCACGTATGACTTGCACACTATTTGTAGGGCATACCTGTTTCCATTCCCCACATGGTGCAGACGGGATGGCAGAGTGAGCCAAAGGACTGTAGGGACTATGATGTCCAGAGTGGCCATTAAAAAGGAAAAGTGGGGTCTTTTCCCTTTTGCGAAGTTAATCTCTGTCCTAGTGATGAAGGCTAGAAATCAGATAATCAGCTAAGCCTTTTGTACAACTTTCTAAGGCAAGGGAGTTGGGAGGTAAAATTAACACATATACCTAATGTACACCTGAAGGACCACCACTACCAAGGAAAACTGTCAAGTGTGACCTTTCATTTTACATACTGGTACCAATACTAGGAATAAGAGGTGTACTGTTAGGTGTCATGATGCTTGTTCACATGACTCCTTTATTGGTTTAATTCTGTTACTACCACTAGTGCAGTGCAGACCTGCTAGTATGAATTAAAGATGCTGACACCTGAGAGAGCAGGGTCACCCAGGACCGGTCTAACTACATTCATGTTGTGAAGAACCAACAGTTGCCATAATTTAACCTGTACAAAAACTATGCAGAAGCCAAGTCTGGCTCCTCATGACAGACATGATTTTGCAAATTAGAGTTTCAGTCTCTTTCTGGTTTCTATTATCTGTTCTCAAGGACAGCTATTTCATTTCCCTGATGTGTTTCTTGCCCATACTTCTGCAGTACTGTTTTTGCAGCCACTTGAAGTGCTAAGTTTCAGCTCCTCTTCCAGGAGTGCCTGCTCGCAGTAAAGGAAGGGCTAACAGAGGCAAACACGCACCTCTGGAAGAAAAGCAAGTTTTGAAGCATTCAGCAGCATCCATGCCAAAGATCTGTCTCCTTACATCTACAGCCTACTAAGGAGCCTACTCCTTACATTAAAGTTTTTAATCTGTTATTATTAGTTTTAATGTAAAAAGAAAAAATACTGTTTTTTAGTCAGGTGCTATATAGAAAAGGCCCTGCACAACCCCAGTTCCACTGCAGACTGCTGTAGGAAAAAGACAAGCTTTAATAGTTCCCCCTTCTCCCCAGTCTATGGCAAATACAATGGGCTGTTGCACAAGCGGGGAGAGGAATCCACTTCCAAAACAAGAATTTACAAAAACAACTTTCTTTTCTTGCTTTAGGTTGTTGTAATGTCACCCTGCTGAGATAGTTTGGTGGGAATCCAAATTTTAAAATGTTTGCTGCTTTTTGGATGGCGTATCATTTCTTTATACTGCAACGCTTTTCTCTGGGGGAAGAAACACAAAGTATCTACCCGGCAGGAAGAAACTGTGATTTCACAAGTCTGTTAGTGTCTCTGAATTTAAGATCATGCTTTTCTCCCACTGTTACTTAAAAATTCCAACAGGAAAACCCCGTTCGAGTTTGAAATCTGAAGAGCAATACCTCTGTTCATAATTTGGCAATCAATTTGTTCTGGCACTGATGCAATCAGCTGAAGACCTGACCCTCCCTGTGCCACATGGAGGTTCCCAGGAAAGGTAACCGCAGCAATTTTGGAAGTGCTGCCAGGGAAAACATTTTGTAGACTTTTTTTAGCCCAAGTGTGCTACGAGAGATGTCCCATTTTGCTTTTCTCCCACTTTAGTTAGTTCACATTCTTTGTAGATGAGATTACCACATACTCCCTGGAATCAGAAATGTTTTATTTTGAAAGCTAGTTAGTGTTGTTTACCAAGAAGTATTTTGCTCTGTTCTTTAAACTGCAGAGCACCATGGCCACCTGCAGGTTACCATATGCTTTCATGCCTATTTTTTCCCCTCTATCCAAGGATCCACTTGGAATCCAAGTCCTTGGTTTCCAAGGACCACTCTTTCCAAGAATCCAAAAACCTGAAAGAGATAGTTTCTAGAGCTAGGCAAAAAAGCAACTACCCTGATTTTTTGTTTTGGTTTTGTTTTTCTAGGCATAGGCATGGGTTTTTTTTGCCAAGCGTGTGCCAGGCAGATTCTTTGTAAGTGTATCTATCTAATCAGCCTATTTGGATGTCATTTATAAGGCACCAGGATTGCCTTTTTTGCTGGCAATGAGCTAGTCTTGTCCAAAGTTCTTACAAACAAAATTCTTTTTTCTCTATAAATAAATATTTAAAATAGACATATAGTACCTTATCATTCTGCAATATAGCCACTGGCAGAGGAAGATGCATTTCACTATGAGGGTGAACTATCATCTTCACTATGGGAGTGGTGAGGCACTTGCACCATTTGCTCATAAAAGCTGTGGCTGCACCATCCACGGCAGTGTTCAAGGCCAGTTTGGATGGGGCTTTGAGCAACCTGGTGGAAGGTGTGCCTGCCCATAGCATGGGGGCGTTAGAACCCTCTCCCAGGACTACATTGCCACCTGAAGGGCAGACCTGCCCACCTTGTTCACTGTGCTTCCCTGGCACCTTTCTTGTCCTGACATTAACTAACACAATACCCTAGAGCTTGACCTTGCTGCACCAGCTCAGTGGGAACCCAGCAAAAACAGAGAAACCGTACCAAACTTGAGCCAGGTCACCATCTTATTGATAACATAAGGCAGGAAAGAGGGTGTGGGGAATGGATGGGCCAGGGCCGTCTGGAAGCAGTCCACAATTGGATTGCTTTAAATCCATGATTAAACTGTACCTGGTCATGTCATGTGAACAATAATTTGTTTGATCTTTGCTGGTATTTGCAATTTTTACCACCCTTCTTGTGAGAACATGCAGGACTCTTGCAGATTATCAAACAGCACTTAAATATATCTGGGAATTGTGTGTGTGTGTGCATGTGGAACAGAAGATACAGTGACATTCTCTGGTGAAAAGGGAGAGAAAACAGTGCTGTAATAATAAAAGCTAGTGAAAAGGGAGAGAAATCAAAAGGACAAGGGGGAAATTAAGAGACTACAGAAAAAAAGGCAAACTCACAGGAAAGAGGAGATAGTATAAAGATGAAAGCCCTGTGGGCAATTAGCCCAACCACAGGCACATCACTCGCTATGGGTCACAGCTGCAAGTTTTCCCAGGTAACAACTGGTTTTATGCATCTGTCTGAATAAACATTTTTGATTTCTGAATAGGTAACTCTGGGGAAATGTGCCCGGTGAACCTCACAGCATTATGGGCTGGACTGACTAACGGGCTGACACACATGGAGAGAGAGCTCAGCTGCTGGGAAGTGAGGCAGGGATGGATGGGTGAGCACGAGGACCCCAGGAGAGGAAGGCTCGACAGGCTGGTGAGGCGGATGTGAGTATTTTGCTGGTGTTTGAGCCAATTCAGCAAATAACACCTGTGGACATCGTACAGTTAGACCTAATGACAAACTATTGCTCATTTCCCATTGCAGCTTTTCATTTTGGGGCCGCTGGCTCCCTGTGATCCATAGCTGCCTTGGCAGCAGTCTGATTTATACTCACATTGTAATGCTTCCCAGCTCTCCAACAAGTCAGGCAAAGAAAACACTACAGCCCCAACCTCCTCCTGTTTTACCAGGACATCCCCATAGCAGGGGTTTTCAGGTAAGGACAACCCAGGGACCCCTTATAGACTAAACTGTTCAAGACTGCCACTTTCTTCCTGGTGTATTCTTTGGAGAGGGCTGCCAGATCTTTAAATATTTAACTGATGTAGGAGAACATTTTCAATAAATGGAGAAAAGAGTCAGGGTTGTTGATAAAAAGCAGACAAAATACTGCTCTAGACAGCCAACATTACTTCATCTTTACTCACCAGTATCAGTCCCTAAACTGTTAGGATTCTTCTATTTGCTCCTCAGCTGGTAATTTCATGAAGAATCATAAAGGCTCATTGCTATGATGCTTACCTCTCTCATGGACTTGTACTCCATATTAGTCATGTGTTCTGTATTCCAAAAAAAAATAAATTACGTAAAGTTTTTCTATTGCTAATGTCTAACCCCTAACAGTACTCGGCACATTGGGATTCTTTGTCCTTGTATGACTTCCATTGCTGACAATGTCTTGCTCGTATCTCTGACCTTTGGCCATGAAATTATTGCAACAAGTCACATTCAGACAGCACACACAGGCAGTGAGCCTCTAAAGCCAAACTGAAAGCATCAGCTGCTTCCTCTGCTGCTTTCACAGCTGGTCAGGCCCAAGGTCCTGCAGTGAGCTTTCAGACCTCGTCAAGACCAGGAATTAAGCACACAGCTAAGGCTCCTTTTTCACATAACACTACTCAGGGATAAGCCAAGTCTCACTCATGACTCAAATGAGTAACGGTGCCAGAACTGGGCAACTGAACTGTCTAAAGACTAAACTTCCTAGCTTAAAAGATGCAGACACTATCATCAGTTCTGGAATCACTTTGCAAAACGCATTCCAACATGCCAACTACAATTATCTGTAGTCGATAACAGATTACTGAAAAATAAACAGGATCATTTCCCCACTTACCTGTGTGCAGAACATTGTTTTGTGTGCATTTCAGGCAGTTTATCCTGTTTAAAGGTGGATGTCTATTTTATTTTATAGAATCATTTCTTAAGGCAGGTGAATTATCACCCAGTAAAGAGTATGTGGTTTTAACACTGCTATATAAAGACAGAAAGACAGTCCTCAAAGACAAGTGCTCTTAGTTTGATGAATTTCCTTCAGAACTGAAAACAACTGTTTTACAGTTTATTAATTAGAAGCAGAAACGAGACTGAATGTTAATGTAAGGTTTTGTGCATATACCTATTCATCCATGATGATCTGCTTTTATACTAGATAGAGACAAAAGTTATCCGTTACTGCAAATAGGATTTCCAGTGTGGCTCATTTTCTGCTCAGGTACCACTGCCTTGAGACCCACCTGCCACAACTAACAACTTGGTTTACTATAAACCAAGTCCAAGGCCTGTTCTTGCATGTAAAAATATCAACTATTTACTTGACTGGCTGCAACTTGGATTTACATCTGTCCATAAGTCACATACTCTGAAATATATGGGTAGAGAAATGTCAAAATGTTAGAACAAACTAATTACTGTTCTCTGTAATCCTGAATGTTGATGTCCCATGCCCTAGTTTTAATTCTGATAGCTAGTGGTGGAGAAGCATGAAGGAATGGCTGATGAGGACAAATACAAGGATAGTTTTCTCCCCTGTATGGTAGCCTACCTTCTTCCATATACGTCTATCTGATGGCCTCCAGGCCAACCAATCTGTCCTTCAAAACCTCTGCTAACAGCTGTCCCAGTTAAAAAAATCCCTTCTTCCTTGCCATGCACCAGAACACCAAGTGTCATGACAGTAGGTGTTCAGAAATAACCTTTTTCAAAGGGCTTATTAAATAAACATACGCTGTTCTCTTTACTGCAATAAGGGAGAGCGGTTAGAGGAAGAAGTGAAAAATGCTTGTATCAATCCTGCTGTTAACAGCAGAATTACGAAATGTTGCTTTAGACACTTTTTGACAGACACCAAATAAAACAAATAGCTACGGTTTAAGCTACAGCTCAATCCCATTTTATGTGGTAGTCTAAATTTCAGTGAAGCCAAGTCTAGCACACCTGTATAAATACATACATAGGCAGTTTTTAATTTCTGATCTAAAATGGTGTTGTATCACAGTTTTCTGTTAACATGTTACCATGTCCCATTTTGAGGCATGTGAGAGGGACAAATTGCTCTCATTCTCAGTTAAGCACTTTCACATCAATTCATTAATATTATTAAAGTCCAAGTTTCTCTGTTTTCAGACTGGGGAAGCACAGGACATTAAAGAGGGCACAGGAACAAGGCCCTGAAAACCCAGCTCAGTTTACATCTTCCCCATGGGAATTTTTGAGAGTGGGCACTCCATCTCTTCCTATCTCTGTCCCCCCAGTTTAACATTTGGATAACAATATTGGTCCCCTTCTGTAGTGCATTTTGAAACCGACTTACAGAAACTGCCCTATAAGCATTATGCATTTTTTAAACTATGTAATTGTACTTGAATATTTGTTGAAGTGTCTCCTGCTGAGCCAGGACACTGAGTCAGTCCCAAGCTTGTAAAAAACATTTGTAGCTGACTGGGAAAAAACTTTGTATAGAAATACAAACCCCTTATAATTAGCATGCTGAAAGCCAATGACAGCCTTATTATGTTTTATTGCTAGTGATTATTAGTGCACTGAGAAAACAAACACATATCTCTATTCAAGAAACTGTCATGCTTAATAGTCAGTCTTCACAAATCTATTTCAAAATAAGCAAAAGACAATCAATTGTATTTGAAGCACATGAAGTTTGTTCATACTCTTGGCAAAAAAGGATTACAGTATATTTCAGAGATTTTAAAAACAGAAATGTACTTCTGCCTGCTATCAAACCTACAAAGGAAAGTAATAAATAGCAAGCTGAAAATACATTCAGAAGTGGGTGAAAGTTCAATGGTCACATTTAGAGAAATGTTAAACCATTTGGTCTGGCAATAGCTGTAGATGAAGAAAGGGGAAGCTGAGCTCTGCTAAAGCACATACACTTTAATTTCTATACACAGACAGAAGTTGTCTAATAACAAAATAGCCAAGCTTAATTTTTACAACCTTAGCTGCAGTTCACACAATTCCTTCTTAATGGCAGTCATTTATTGGTGACTTTGTGCTGTCCTTCAGCGTTGGAAAGGCTTTTCAACACTTGGAAAGCACCTTCTCTTTCTCTCTGGAAACAAATCTCTGTTGTGTGATTTAGGGCACCGCTAATGCCTCACTTCTGTTACGCTTCTCTGTGTAAAACTCAATTGTTCCTTCAGTTGCTTTGTAAGCCGCATTACAGAAACTGTTACTTGTTTGGTACTATAGAACTATGTATTTCTTAGGCCAGATATGTAAACAACTAAAAAATTGCCACTTTCCCCTAACACAAACTTCCCCACCCCAGAATGCCGGAACAGATGTGGGCACCTCAGACCTGCTTGCCAGCTACCTCCAGCTGCCACCTGTCAGGCTTTGTTCTGCTAGATCCTCTTGGGATTATAACTTCTAGAATATCCCAAAACAGATACCAGCCTCCAAGCTAGAGGCACCTGAATTCATCTGATGATGCCAACATATCACATAAAAAAACTGAATGTCTACATATGCCAATGGCAATATACCTAGTCAGTCATATGATTCTTCTAAAGATAGGTCTCCTTCAGCTAGAGGTTATAGCCTTGATTTAGGTGCTCTTGGATGAGCTGTGACAGGAAGTTTTACAGACAGCATGCTTTGGGGGCATCATGCCTCTTCTATCCATACTTACCAATGAATTTGGTCAAGCTTAGTGCTTGTTATTCAGTTAGTTGAGTTAAAAACATGGACGAAGTGAAAGTCAAGCCATAGATTTTACTGATGAATGAAGCTGTTGTAGGCCATATCTGCATAATTTTCATAGCAGATATATGGGAAGGTATGCAAGCAAACAGGTTTTATCTTGTACAAGCAAACAGGTTTAATTATTTCATCCTAAAGATAATGCATTGATTCAGTGATACATTTGGACCATGAGAAGATGAGTGGTCTTTCTAGTCCCGGACTCTGTCTCCAACAGTGACAACCAGAGAAGTTATTGAGGCAGAATACACAAGTCTGGACAATGTGTGGTCCACTCTCCACATGCTTCCCAGCATCCACAATTATTGCATTAGGAACATAGAAGGTACATTTCCACCTAATCCTTTTGGTATCCATTTACGGGCCCTCTGTTTACTAACTCAATCTTTTTTGAATATGCTGATGTTCTCATCCACTCAGAGTACTGGGTTTTGTACATTTCGTAACAAATTTAGTAAACTGAACTGCTGGTAAGAAATCAAAAAAATCTCAACAACCCAAATAAGCAAGCAAAAAAAAAAGAAAACAAACCAAAACCCACCGTTTGTTGTGTTCAGTAATAAGATTCCAGATCAAGGCAGTTTAGTATCTGAAAGAGCTTCCCTGTTCCAGTGCCTCACCACCCTCACAGTAAAGAACTTCTTCCTAATATCTAATCTAAATCTATCCTCTTTTAAGCTTAAAGCCATTCTCCCTTGTCCTATCCCCACATGCCCTTGTAAGTATTCCCTCTCCAGCTTTCTTGTAGACCCTCTTTAGATACTGGAAGGCTGCTATGAGATCTTCCCGGAGCCTTCTCTGTTGAGGCAATGCACACGCTTGATGTTCTAACCACGGCGAAACCACGAGCGGCACAGGGCGACCCTTCCCTGAGCTGCCCGCTGCCTTCAGCTCGAAGCCCATCCCATGCAGTAACACCCGTTACAGCGTTGACCAGCCCCGGCTCTCGCCTGCAGCGGATGTCACCGATGCTGGCGGCTCCCCCCTCCTCGGCTTCAACCCCAAGACTCTGCCCACCGCACGGCTCTTCAGCCGGGGCCCTCCCCGCCGCGGAGGACCCTGCTCCGGCTCTCCGGTGCCCGAGGCGTGCTCCGCCCGGGCTGACATCAAAACCCGGGGGCGCAGCCGCCGCTTCCAGCCACCTCCGGCACTGGAGCGAGAACCGAGCCCGCTGCATGGAGGGTGGGAAGGAGGGAGGGAGGGATATGTCTGTCCTTCCCTCCGGGGCCGTAGCGCTGGCGGGACCGGTGCAGCTCTTACCGTCTGCTGCACTACCCGAAAAGTGGCATCCAGCAGCATCAGCTTCCAGGGGTCCGACACGGTGCCGGGCAGCGGCAGGTACACGTAGTAGGCAGCCAGGGCGGCCAGCGCCGCCAACAGCACCCAGGCGGACCGCATCGCGACCGCCTCCGCCGCGGTGCGCGGGGCTTCGCCGCGGCTGCCCGCAGGGCGCACACCGCCCCAGGGCCGGCCTCTCTCGGAGGAAGTCCTAGCTCTTCCGTCCCCGCCAGCTGTGTGCCAGCTCTGGCAGGCGGCGGCCTGGTCGGCGGTTAGCCTGGGCGCTCCCGCAGCGCCACCCCGCCTCTTCTCCGCCGAAGAGGCCGCTCCGAGCAGCTGGCTGCGCCGCCCGACGAGGTACTGGGCAGCCACCACCCCCGAGGCAGGCGCCTGGCTGCCCGCGGTCCACACGGCTGCCGGAGGCTGCCCCCGTGCGGCCGGGGTCGCCCGGGGCAAGGGTCTGGGCCTGGGCCTGGCGTCGCCGGGTTGGCGTCTCCCCGCCGGTCCACACGAGGCTGCCCTGCCGCGGCCGTGGGCTGAGTGGGCTCCTGCAGCGTGCGCTGGGCCATCAATGGCCACCCAAACCCGGAGTGTCCCACTCTGCCCCTCCCTCACGCAGGCCCTGGGTCCTGTTGCCCACTTTCGACCTAAGCATCTCAGTGTGGTTCTGTGTGGCACATCGGACTGCAACGAGCTTGGTCCATGAGCAAAATCCCCACCAGTTCCCATATTCAGGGGTTGTAACACCAGAAGATGTCCAGTGGCAGCTCCTCACCCACAGAGAATGGGAACATCAGTGTGCGGGAATATCAGTATCCGGGCAAAGTTTGCCCTTCTGCAGAGCCCAGAGGCTGTGAATGTGGGATGAAGGCTGTAAAAAGGATCAAGTCAACCCTGGGGAATTCCAGATCCAGTGTTTCTAGGGACACACTTATTTTAGCTGAAGGAATAGTTCCCCATTTCACACATCACAAAACAATTCCAAAAAGGAGATTTTTGTAACTTTATTCTGGACTGGGAATTTATTTTTTATTTTTCTACCCTGGTCAGTAACAGATTTTGGTTTAACATGGGAATATTTCTTGTACATAAATTTTCTAAATAGGTCTTTCTCATCACCAACATACAGGAAATAAAAGCACTATAGAGTTCAGCCTTGACACAAAGGACTACTTAATGCTTAGTCACGGTCCTATCTTCAACAAAATAAAATATTTAAATAGCCAGGTTCACATGCATTATGAACCTAATGTGGAAAAAAGAATGAACGATATGACTTTAACAATAACATTGCTTTTAAAAGTGAACTCATTATACTAAAAAGTCACATAGAAATGTAAATAGTGTCCTAGAAAGGACAAGTTTCCTTTAAAAACTGATATGAAAAGGTAATAAAAGAAAAATATGTTTCTAAGAAGTAAAAGGTCAGCTTTTAAGCCAGCTTTACCAGAACTGAAATAAAACCTCACTGATTCTAAAGGTCACAGTAGCAAGTTTCTGGAATTTGTGAGGAAATAAGACTCATGCATCTTTACCCTGTTTTCATAACGACAGCAGATGGAGTTTCTGTAATTTTCAGTCAGTTTTGGGCAGACTACGATTGTGAAAGGGCAGCTTGGAAACAAGAATTGTCAAGAAAGCCACACTATGAGATTACTGAGGCCTCCACCTTTTTATACCGAATCTCCCATTTCTGTGTCATTTTGTGCTCCCATGTTCTGTGTTACCTTGCATCCTGCTCCCCTGCACCCTTTGCTTAGCAAACTCCCATTACTTTGCTTTCCCAAGTCCACACCCAGGATCCCTGAGTGTAATAATTTGTACCTGTCTCTTCCATCAAAATCATTGCTCCTAAAGCTCCAGCAAAACTGGGGCTTGTCCAACTCCTCTCTCATCTACTTATCTCCTTGAAATAGACATAAAAAGGCTGAATGGAATTTTTCTGGGGTTTCTCATGCTTCTACTAACCCCCATGCTTGATATTCCCCCTTGCTCAAATTTTGAAAGCTGCTGCTCTGGCTAAACTGAATCAGTATGTCTTCGAGGAATCTGTTTTGAGGTGGGCTTTTTGTGTGTGTGTGGGGTGGTTTGGTTTGGTTTTGCTTCCTAGGCACTTACAAAGAAGTCAGTTGAAAAAATAAAACTGGTGATCTGCGAAAAATAAATTAACCCCCAAAATGCAAGCTATCAAGGGGACAAGCAATTTATCTACATAAACTCACAGTCTGAAGCCACTGAGTAGTTGCTGGACAGCCACCTTCCAGAGACAATGCAGGGCAATGAGGTCTCCTTCAGGCCTCTCCAGGTTCCATCAGCTCTTTTGATGTGGCCTCATTGTCTATCTTCCACAAAGTGTGAAATACCTGCTCCCACAAAGTGTATGTGCTGGGATTCATATAATGATTGAATCTCCTGGAACTTTCTCCCTGTGGGAGAGGAAACTAACTGTTAAATGAATGTTATACTCCTGGGTTACTGATGTCTAGGTAATTGGAAGGAACAGTGAGTTTCAACTGCACGTTACATTTTACACAAAAAAAAAAGCCAATAGGTTTCTCCATTTCAGAGCCTTTTTTTAAAAAAGCACTTTGATTTTTAAACATCAGACATGCAAATAATAGTAATTATTTTTGTTATCACTCTTGATCTAAACTCTAGTGAGAATAAATGGCTTTAAACTGACAGAGGGGAGATTTAGTTTAAACACAATAAAAAAGTTTTTCCCTGCGAGAGTGCTGAGACACTGGCACAGGTTGCCCAGAGAAGATGTGGCTGCCCCAACCTTGGCAGTGTTCAAGGCCAAGCTGGATGGGGCTTTGAGCAATCTGGTCTAGTGGAAGGTGTCCCTGCCTGTTGCGGGGGGGGGGGGGGGTGGAACCAGATGAGCTTTAAGGTCCCTTCCAGCCCAAACTATTATATGATTCTATGATAAATGCACCTGATTTAAAAAAATCTTACTCACTTTTCTTAAGTGATTACTACTGAAAGTTTGTCTAAGTTCTGTCAGTCCCAGGAGGGATAGCTTACAATGGTTCATGAAAACACCCTAGCTGCTTTATGAGATTGTAATTCTAATTTTCAAGTGTATTTAAGAAATTGTTAATGTCCAAGTCACTCTTCATATACATAGTGAGCCTGTATTTATATAATGAACGTTTAGGTATCCCTATATTCTTTTAAAACTTTAACTGAGAAATGATGCATATATCAGCTGTTAATCCTCACCTCCAATAAACATACTTCTCCTATCTTTGCAGGCACAACATTTTATGTTGCTTTTTTGAGGATGTAGAGAGTAAGTGGAAATTAATGTGCAAGCACCAATAGCTTTTCCAGAAGCTATATTGCAGAAACAACATTGACTCCAAGACTGCAGAACTTGTTCCAAACCCAGGAGAAACTTCATCGCTGGTTCAGGGCATGAAGGAAACCTAAGACCTCGCTGAAAAGGACTTTGTAACAGTGTGAAGAAAGAACAGGGGGAAAGCCAGTGCAGGTTAGCATGGCCTGGCATCGCAAAATCCTGGCCCAAACCGGTACTTCAGAGTGACAGTAGGACCTTGGGTTAGGCTGTATTTTGACTGTAGGTCATTGTTGCAATTCTCTATATGAAATAACATAATTGTGGGACTGTGTAAAAATCGGCTGACTCAAGTGTCAAAACTGAACTGACCTCCTTGTTTCCCAAGCTGTTATTTTGAAATACTTTCCTCAGGAAAATAGTCCTAATAGGATCCTGAGGATAATATTATCCTCAGGATAACAGTCCTGTGGAAAAGAACTTGGGGGTGTTGGTTGATGAGAAACTTAACATGAGCCGGCTTCAGTGTGTGCTCACAGCCCAGAAAGCCAACCGTATCCTGGGCTGCATCAAAAGGAGCGTGACCAGCAGGTCGAAGGAGGTGATCCTGCCCCTCTACTCTGCTCTCGTGAGACCTCACCTGGAGTATTGTGTGCAGTTCTGGTGTCCTCAACATAAAAAAGACATGGAACTGTTGGAACAAGTCCAGAGAAGGGCCATGAGGATGATCAGGGGACTGGAGCACCTCCTGTATGAAGACAGGCTGAGAAAGTTGGGGCTGTTCAGCCTGGAGAAGAGAAGGCTGCATGGAGACTGCATAGCAGCCTTCCAGTATCTGAAGGGGGCCTATAGGGATGCTGGGGATGGACTCTTCATTAGGCACTGTAGTGACAGGACAAGGGGTAATGGGTTAAAACTTAAACAGGGGAAGTTTAGATTGGATA